GGAGCACTCCACTTTGCTGCTTGTTATTCGTTTATTTAGATAAATGTAGGCACTTTATATTTTTAAAAAGTATTGAAATCATGCAGGTTTTATTGGGGCCAATATCTTAATGTATTTAAATCCGAAACATCTATATTTCAAAAGAGAAAGTTAACATTTAACCTGCCCCACAGAAACTGTAACGTAAAAAAAATATTATAAATATTATGTTAAAATCTATAAATAGTTAATTTGCCAACACTAAACATTAGGTTGTATTCTAAATACAAATCAATTAATACTCCTTCAAAGATTCACTAATTAAAAATTAAAATGATTTATGCTTTCACCGAAAAAATAGACATTTTAGAAAAATGATTTGAATAAGATTAAGTTGTTCATTTAACTATAGTAGGAAAAAACAAACAAATCTATAGTTACAAGTATCAAACAAGTGAGATCAAAGTATGAGTTTAATGTACAGTGCACTTGCAATATAGCGTATGGATGCACCGCCTTGAATTTTTTTCGTCGGGTTTTTAACTTCGTCCTTGAATTTCAAGTTTAGATTATGCACGTTGCACTTTACCAAAACGCCTCGGATTGCACCCGCATTTACATATCTTTAATTTTGGACGCAAGTGATCGTGTCTTGCTCTCTAACGACTTATTAGGGAGGTATAAAGTACGATAAAATGCAGATTTATGACATTCAAAAGGTATATATTACAGATGTTTTAGTACAATAAAACAAACAACACATATCTGTATATTACTGTTCTGTAAGTGCTATAAATAGGATGTAATTTTCAGTATTAAAGTCAATAAACATTAGAGTAATACAAGACTGGTCTATGTATAACTCCTATAAATGTTCTCGTGGCATTATTCATTTCATATCACGTGTATGTCAGTAGAAGCACCGTTGAATGGACATCGGGGCATCAATACAAATCGCATTAGGCTAGGTCAAGACTCCTAACACAGCTGTGTAGATACCGAGACGCGAACAAACGATAACAAAAAGGTAGACACCGACGCAGGCGCAGGGCAATGCACTTTTTCGTGGTCGGTCAAAGAAGATCGTCAATACCTGAATCCTGCCCAAACTTGTGAGCTGCATGACAATTTTATATAACGCACAAACAAATTTGAATCTTAACACATATGATATTATAATCAAAATTAATCTACAGCATTTATAATTCAAACTCCTTTATTACTGTTGAATTATTTACTTTTACCAGCGAATAAGTACCTTATAATTAATTTAATTAATTTTACTTTAAAGTAGTGATGCATTGACGTTCTTACGTTATCAATGCGTTGTGCAAAGTGATATAATAAAGTTAAGAATGGCTATAGAGGCCAATTTGCAATAAATCGCGATAAATACGCGACGGCATGTAATGGTGCGCGAGGTACAGGCGGTTTAACGTAACTAAGGTCATGATGGGTAGGTCGTACACGTAATCCAAATTTGAGCAAAGATTAACTACTTTTATACATGTGTCTGCTAATGTACACGTATATAAAAATGTTATCGGCTGCGTAAATCAATTGTTATTTTTATAAACAAACACAAACACAAAGATGTTTTGTGGCAAATCTTTTGAGTGACTAACAATTTGTAACACATTATGAGATAATGGTACATTTTAAAAAGAAGGAAGCAACTTAATTGTAATAAGAATAGTTTACTTAAACAAGTTCAAGCTAAGCTAAAGTTAAGATAAATAAATGAACGAGAAATGAATAACAAGAAATAAGTTTCTAGCATGCAGCTTGTTAATTATTTTAACTAAATAGAAATAGTACTTGTTTAAAAACGAAAGAGACACTACAATTTTATATTGTTACACTATAGCCTTTAGTCTTTGTTATATAATAACCGTGACATATTTGTTTTTGCTCATAGTGCGTATAATCCCCATGCAAGACCGCGTAGTGCGTACAGCAACGCGTTACGAGTCACCTGGCAAACGCATCATAATATAAATGAAAACTGCTTTTCATAACGTCCAGCTCCTATCTGTAGATAACCGCGATTTAGCTAGTTTAATAATCCGTACTTGTATGATTTGATATTATCTTAGCCTTGACAAAGCTCAAGCCATCTACCAAAATATCGAAGATGACATCAGGTATAAGCCTATTTTAGTAATAAAATGTCATACACGCAACCAAATCTGAAATATAATCTACATGAGATTAACATAACTATTGTATTCGTTACATAATATAGGTAGCGCCACTTTGGTCACGTGCCCACGTTGCGACATGGGCGACTAAGACATGTATTTAATGCGACTATTTTCATGAGTTTTACAAAACTTTCACGGGGTACGTCTACTGATCTCTATAAATGGAGAGGAGAGCTTGGAAATGACAGCTTTTGTTTTATTTCGACATAAACACGTTACTGACAGTTAATTGATTCTCTGTCCCTTCGAGTTCTCACCACCGCCATCAACAGGCACCGAAATTACCACGTCTGTCTGCTTAAAGAGGTCAGTGGATATATAACATTGAAGACATACATACTTACAGAGTTGTAATTACATACAAAGATTAGGCGTGATAACTTCTCTTTTTTTAACTTTTAGAATAGCTTATAAGATAGGTAATTAAATGAAAAAAATATTTTTTTTAAAGCCATTAAGTGTGTGAAAATAGGTACACTATTCGTCCGAATACGTGAATCTCTTCATCAAAGTTACTTATTTTTCACTAGCCCTAATCATAAACTACAATCTCCAATATTCATGTAAGGTTCCTATTGTGTTGATAAAAAGAGTATAATGGTAAACGTTGCGATAAAAAATCCTCATAAATGTCATTTAATTAGTTTAAGATATAAAATAACACACATAAGGACACTTAAATGAGATACGAGTACAAAACAAAAGGTTTTTGCCTTTCAAATTCAAAATTAATTTATCGACTTAACAAAACCTTAAAGAAATGTATGCACTTATATTTATTTATGATAATTCCTAAGTTCAAATTTGGCGACGATGTTTAATGGCGAAAGTTTTTCAAATATTATTTTGCTTTAAAAGAAAAAATTCTTTACTCTCGGAAAATCTTTCAACCCTGGCAGGATTACACAGATAAAAAGGACATTGAATCTTAAGTGGTTAGTTTTAGAGGTTTTTTATTTATTTGAACACTATCTATGAAAGCTCATTATATTTTATTTTTGTTGTTGTCATAACATTGACCATCATAATGCTTTATTAATAATTATCAATATATATTTTGTCATAATACAGCTTAATTATCTCAAGTGTTATGTAATGCTAAAAACTTTATTGATATAAATCTCCAACAGACGAAATAAAACCGAGCGATGTCGAAACACAATGTTTAGCAAGTACTCGTACATAAGTGGCTAACTTAGATAATGGCAAGAATAAAAATAGTTAAGATGAAGGCCACGGGTTTATACATCACAATAGAACATTGAAGCACAAGCAACGAGTCAACGATCAAGCCAACAGATAATCTCCTCTATTTTCGGATGTATACATGAAATTATTTAGTTACATTGTTGTAACAAAACGCGTAAAAGAAAAACTCTGTATTGATATTGATCATTGATTTTCCATTCATTCGTGTGGAATGACGAAATCAATACTTCCTCAAACATCATTCGACAAAGAATAGAATTTTCTTGTTCGCCAGAAGTCACAGCAAACACAGCTTATCGGCCTAAATCTATACTTCCATACTATTATAATAGAGCGTAAACACACACTTCTTTGTTGCCTAAGATGTCAGCAATTACAGCATATTTTTGAATAATCATTTTTTTGATAAAAAAGCCCTACACTTACGTCACGCTTTAGGCTATATATTTTCACGCCATTAAACATAGGTGGTAAATATTTTGGATAAAAACCCTAATATAGGAAAGACACCATAAGTTGCTGCCAACATCAAAGAAGCAAGATTGCCAAGGTTTGTCATCTCATGTCATTTTGACATTTGCTATTGAGAATTGGACAAATGTGAACAATAAAATGATTTTTTTTTATAATTTAATGCGGATGAAGTCGCATGGGAACACCTAGTTATGTATGAATTTCATAAACTATACAATTTATTTACACTATAGTAAAATATTTAGTTATTGTACATTTTCTTGTTGCAATTCATTCTACTTCCCGCGCAATGCTTACGCATGTATTTCTTTTTTTCTAATTTTTCCGGACCTGCTTATAAACAAATAAGCTGAATAATCATCCATTTATAGTGAATGGGAATCCAAAAACCTTTATAATTATAATCAATTCTATGCATTGTTGTGTAGTCGACACATAAAGTTTGCAGTTTTCTTTCTTAGTATGTTTACCTATAAAGAACGTGTGTCGATATACTACGTCCTTAAAAAAGCTCTGTAATTAATATTATGGAATGTAGCTTTCTTGATTTAAAGCTTTTTAATTTATTTCTTCAAGCAATATCCTATAAATAATAAACTACCTCTTGAAACTTTAACTTTCTCTTATTTGAAATCTATTGTGATTTTTTTATTAATTTTGTTTTAAAACCATGTTGTACTAGAACTACACAGTTTAAAATTTTCTATTTCATTAAAGTGTCATACTTTGTTGATTGTGCACTCAGAAAAGTAATTTTACGTAAAAGATATAAGAATTTGTGACATTGATTTGGGCCATATAGATCATATCTAAGCCTTACAAAGGGATGGAGAGCATTTGAACAATATTGTTTAATTGTCAATTTATTTTTCAGGTGTATCCAGCACATCCTATATATCCAGATTCGGCAGTGGACCGGCGCAAAAGCCGACGCCGTGCCGGTGCGTCGGTGGCCCGTATAAATACATACGGTGCCCGCTCCTGCCGTGACTGCCCGCCGAAACCGCGCCGAACGCGGCGACCCAACGCACGCGCGCCCAAAAAATACGATTAAAATAAAACAATTTTGACATTAATTTTTTTAAATTCAAATTAAGAGACAGTTGTCGAAAACTATACGTTCATACAGCCAAAATGAACGACGACGCTGAATTATACAAAAAGAGTAACACCTTACAGAAACGAGATGCCGTAGAATGCTTAGAAGAGTACGCGATTAAAATTAAATGGAGAAACTACAACGATCGGATAATAGATATAGGATGCGGGGACGGCAGCGTGACTTCAAATATACTTAGAAGTTATATACCAAATAATTATGGCAGACTTATTGGATGCGACATCAGCAAAAACATGGTCCAGCACGCGAACAGACACCACGCTGACAACCGCAACTGCTTCCGGGTCATGGATATTGAAAGCGAGCTCCCGAGGGACCTGAGGGAATGTTTCGACCACGCATTCTCTTTCTACACCCTACACTGGATTAAGCGGCAAGAGTAAGTAATTTATAATACTAAAATAAGTGCATGGAAAAACATTTTAAAGTTACTTTGCAAAATTGTAAATTTCATAATTATATCCCAAAATAATTAAGAACAAACATGGTTTATGAAATTCATGAGAAATTATTTCTTAGATGCGACAAAATTAATAGTAAATTCCTTGAAAAGGGCATGAAGTAATAAGAATAACTGTCACAAAGAATGTTTGAAATTTCTAATATTCAAAATTTTTTTTTATTTAGAGAATCAGTACATTAGGGAACCACTATCGCCATTTAAATACTTTAAATAGCAACTTAGCGTCTATTTAAATACTTGTTAAGGTTTCCGTTAGTTTTAACAACTTATCTCTGTTACCGATCCAAACATATTATAAATCGCAAATAATCATATGAAGTTCGGTTAATATTACAGATACCGTATGCATCCCGTGTCTTTGACACTACATCCTAACCTCACTCCGGTCTTATTGAGTATTCATTGCATTTGTTTAGGAAAGGTCTCGAAGTGTGAACGGTATTCGTACGGTACCAAGGAAAAGGAATTTAAAACAAAATATAAGAAAACACCACAAACATCCCATCCCGCAAATCTATTATCTATATCCTAGTTTTATTAACTGCATCGATGTTAACTTCGGAAATAACTAGGCTAATATTATCAATGTGATTGGTAATTCCGGGTATTTCCCATTGGGCCGTCTCAAAGGGAAACATCCGTAATTCCTGAGATTAGCACAGCTTAATCGTGATTATTAGATGACATGAATTACATTATGTTGTTCTTTTTTTTTCAGATGTGCGTTCAGGAATATCTTCGACTTGCTAGTGGAGGGCGGCGACTGCTTGCTGATATTCCTGGGGCACATGCCCGTATTCGACGTGTACCGCGTGCTCGCACGCAGCGCCCGCTGGCGACCGTGGCTGCATGACGTCGATCGCTTCGTCTCCCCATACCATGATACGCAGGTTAATGGCGCTTTACTTACATACTCAGGCGTAATAATCAAGTTAATACACAAACTACGACCCCCAGATAAAACACACAATTTACAATGGTACATTTGACAACAAGGAATGTACATAAAAGATATATTTCAATCTAATTACTTTCAGGAGCCGGAGAAAAAGATAAGGGTTATGATGGAGGAGATCGGCTTCCACGACGTAGAAGTCAAGCGGAAAGAGAGATCATTCATCTACGATAGCATCGAAGCTGTGAAAAGTAAGTTAATAAAATACAATTCATAACAAAAAAGACCCTCATAGACTTGCTGTTCAATCTTTTTCATCTCCATTAATTTCGATTCCAAAAAACTGCACCTTCATTCGAAAGGAAGAATCGTTGATTCACGTTATCAGAATACCTCGCACTTTGCTCTTTTCTGATTGTAATTCTTTTTCCACAGAGGCAGTATCAGCGGTAAACCCTTTCAAGATCCCTCAGGAGATGCAGGAGGAGTTTATGGAGGACTACCTGGCTGTAGTGCGTGACATGCGACTTATCGACCGCGTCAACAATAACACAGATGGCTTAAGTGTTAGAGCTAACTACAGCTTGCTTATTGCCTTTGGAAGGAAGTAATCCCTTACCATGTATTTACTGTTGGAAAACATATGCAAATGTAATTTATTATCTCACCTTTCATCAAAATATTAGAAACAAGGAAATGATTAGGTACCTAAGTGTTTTTCTACAGGTTTTGTACCTATGGAAAATAGTGGGTAAGATAACGCAAAAAATAAGAAAAGCAATGTTTTAAATAAATATCGATCTCCTTGTTATGTTAAAATTTAAAGAGACATATATTTTAATGCAAATTTTCCTAAGATCTGTAAAACATACAAATGTTTATATTTATGTATGTTTATCGTGCAAATTCTTTCGCTTAGCGCTAAATTTATTCGTATATGTATATTTATATCTAATTTATCTCATATTGTCTATGGAAAATTATGTTAACTTCTTTCAAAATGAATATTATAGAATTAAGTTAAAGAATCTCATCTTCTCTAAATTGGGCGAGGTAATTTAAGAGTAATCTTGAAAGGTATGATTGAATAAAAGAACGTTAGGAACGTTTGTGTGATTCATTTAGAAAAACAAATGAAGGGGTGTTGGTGGGTGTCATGTAATTATCGTCTGATCATTATTGCTAAAACTTAGAGCGGGCGCACACCTTTGACCACACTATCACACCGTTGTACGATTGTCGATTGTTTCGCCGCCCATTCAACTGTTCAGTTGCACAACTAAAAATCGAATAGTGTAACCTTCGTGTAAGCTCACAAGAATCAAAGCGCGACTGAACAGTTTTGCGATAGTATAGTCAAAGGTGTGCAACCGTTCTTAGAAAGACGGTGGCAACAGTAACATTAAGCATAGTCGTCATCATGCGATAATTTAGTCTAGGCGACATTACTTTTTTTTGTATTATTTTTTACCAAGGTGCTATTTATGTTTATTCACAATAATTTTTAAGTATTTATTATTTATAATGATTAGTATTAATTTGTGCGAGCAAAAATGTAATTAAATGTAGTTAACAAGCATTGGACAAATTTTACCAGTATATAAAAATGTGTTTTTAATTTTTGATGCTATTTATTTTTTATTCATAAAACCGATTTTATTGCACAGTAATTGTTGTTGTAAATCGATTTTTTTACTGCCCAAGTAAGCTTCCACCGAAAAATACTATTTAATTTTAATATAGGAAAGTACAAAGCATTAGAAGTTAAGGATTTGTTAATTATAAGTTTATTTATTTATGTAAAATGATATTTTATTTCACCTTATTCTCTTTTTAATTGTTCCATCTTAGAATAATTCTTACTAAAATAACGTAACAATTACTATTACAGTAAAATTGTGCTTTCAAAGCAAATACAATTATTTAAACGTGATTAATATTTTGAAATCATAACTTTTTTATATCAGAAGGGAAATCAAACCCCCCACGGCCATCTTCAAGTGCGCCTAGAGAGTCCCGGAATCTTCAAAGAACGCACCGGGACTCCCTGCACTAAGACATACTTCTACCTAAGTTTGGCAATCACGTCACGCTTTAGGCTATATATTTTCACGCCATTAAACTTAGTGGGTAAATATTTTGGATAAAAACTCTAATGTGGGAACGAGACCATAAGTTGCTGGGAAAATCGAGAAAGAACGATTGCTAAGGGTTGTCGTGTCATTTTGACATTTGTTATTGATAATTTGACAAATGTGAACAATAAAATAAAATTTTCATAATTTCATGCGGATGAATCCGCGCGGGAACAGCTAGTATTTAATAAGATAAAGTATACATAAAACATTTTTATTTATTGTTTTTCATTTACGGTATTCATAGTTACCTCATTATTTATACTTTAGCACATTGATTGTTTTCATAGATTTTTTTTCTTGTCGAAAATCTGATTTAAAGTAATACACAGAATATTTCCTTTTTTCGATAAAACTGTAGCTTTAAGTATATATTCACCGTAGAAGAATGTTTTTCCGAAAAAATTGGAGGCGACGTCTGTGAAATTTATGAGGCTCCTAAAATCGCCCTAGAATTAAAAAACATAGGAATTCTTGTTATCTAAATAATCTGAAATATATCTTATAAGTTAATTAATAAATATTGAAAGAATATTTTCACGAACCTTTTTTACAACGCAGTTCTTAGCATTTAGTTCTTTTTCAATAACAACAGACACAGCGTAATGCTGACAAGGATTGTTTACTTTGTAATTTAATAGTAAATTAGTTATTTTATTTTTCACCACATAAACATTTATTTTTAACTGTAAAATAATTTAGATTATATCAAAATGTATTACTTACTAATAATTTTAAATTTACTAGTTTACCTCATCTATGTGAACTTGTGAAAGAAACGTTATGTTTACCCAGCCAAAGTATATATCACCTTTTTTAAAGAGGTTTGTCTGGTAAGTAGTCAAATTATTCGCTTTTGGACCTTTACAAGTCTCGTAACGACCCCACCTTAAATCATACGGACCCTGAAAAAAAGTTACCATATATAAGTTTGATAAACTCCTTAAATCGTTGTTTTAGAATTTTTTTCTTATTATAACTGTGTACTTACGTATCGATTAGAGTTTTTATTTAACGATAAATCAACTAGATAAACTTGTTGCAATGATAAAAATAATAGGCACAGTTCCAATATCGCCGTTGCTGTCATTGTTAGAGAAAACACTAAATACCTGAACATATTACTATAACTAGAGGTCATCAATCGTGGAATACTAATCGTTATTTAATTGCCAACAAACATGTACTAAAAGTAATTTTCTATAATTCTAATCATTAACATTCACATAAACTACATTGAAAAGTATTTATATAAAAATGGCTTTAAATTATATTAAAAAAAAACACAGATTAAAAGTACAACCAAAGTAGCAAGAGATTTTCATCACCGATGTTATACAAAAATAAATTGTCATCCATATAACAGAAAAAAACTTTGTGCTACTGTTCTTTGTCGAAGCCCATGCCTAGATAGTCTTTTATATGGTAGATTACTGTTAGTAAGCCTTAGTTAGTAATGGTCTTTGTAGTCATATCATTTATCGATTTTCCATACATCAGCCAGTAATTAAAATAGAATATAGATAAGTAAAAAGTAGAGAGTACAGTTACATTTTAGTAAAAAATGAACTTGTGTCTTTTCTTTTTCAGGATAGTTATAAACTGTGATACAAGTCGAAGTAGAGAGAATCAAGTGATTAATAAAATTAAAACAATGAATATTTAAAGGAAAAATTTTATTGTTCCAATAATCAGTTTAAAATAAAACTACACTATATAATTTTTATTGTCCTGTAAATTAAACATTTTGATTACGTCATGGGCTTTGTTTTCTTTTCAAAGATTGAATTCAAAACAATGCATGCAATGTTTCCCTTTTTCGACAATGTAGTAATCTTCTGCATATATTCACCGTAGAAGAATGAATTCCCGAAAAACGCGTATGAGATTTCAGTGAAATTTGCGTAACAGGAATAGTTTCCCTGAAAATGTATTCGTTAATTTAATTTGCAATCACAAAACATTTATAAAAAGTTAAATTGTAATTTGTAGAATATGTAACCGTGACTTTGTCTCTTTTTTATTTCTTAGAAAAAGCGAGATATCTATATGTACATGTGTTTGAACAGTAGGAACCTATAGTAATAATATACTAACCTTTTTTACAACACAATTTTTAGCATTCAATTGTTTTTCGATAATACTCGCAATAGCGAAATGCTGACAAGGATCATCCAACTTGTATCTCATTAGGAGATTACTACGGTTATTTTTTAACGCGTAAACAGTTATTTTTATCTGAAATAATAATTGAAATGATAATTTTCTATTTAAATTATTTTATTATATGATAACAAGCAAAATCTACTTACTTCATCAATTCTTGCCTGAGTTAAAAATGTAAAATTAACCCAAGAATAATAAAAGTCGCCATCTTTTATTAAGTTTGTACTTAAGATCGTGAGGTTCGTAGATTTCGGACCTCTGCATGGTTCGTAGCGACTCCACCATAAGCGATATGGACCCTGTAATTATAAATTTTCTCTAAATAAAAGGATTCTCTAAATAAATTTAAATATATAAAATTACGTATACAGCTTAAGTTCCAGAAGTGTGTCTTTATCGATTTCTTTTGAAATTTAATTAATAAATATTGGATTTTTTTATATTTAAGATACCACTTTGTACAAACTTACATAACTGTTAAAATTTTCGGTGATACCGAAATTCATAGGATCGACATTAAGGAACAGAAGAGAAACTACAAAAAAAATTAAAAACGTTATCATAGTCATTGTTGAAATGGAACTAAATGTTCAAAAACGTACATAATGGGAGTTACGGATAATTTTCCACTAATCATTATTTAATCGTATATAAAATACGATAGAACGATTACATCTCATAGAAATGCAACGGCTAAATATAATTTACTGCAAAGAATACTTACTCTATCATTCGCCTCAATTTGTAGTAAACCAATAGATAGATTAATAATTATGAAACAATAACAATTAAGCTAAGTATAAGCACCACTGATAGTTATTTAGGAACACCTAATTATTAAGGAACGCAAAAAACAAATAATTACGCATTTGTAATTACTCCGGTATTGCGGATGTTCGAGGGCGTTGTTAATCACCTCGGTGTTCCTGCCAATAGATTGACACTTCTCTTATAAAAGAAAAAGAATACGTCATTACATTTTTTAACAAGTAACACATGACATTCATGTCAACGTAAAATAAAACATACCCGCTATTGGTTATAATTTAAGGTTTACAATTTTTAAAACTATTAACTACTAAAGTTACCTGAACAAACTAATCTTCATAACCATGAAAAAGGGAAAGGTATGTTACATCATAATTCTATATTTGGTTGGTACTTGAAACTAATTTTGTTTTCATTTTTCAGAATAAATCAGACCCAAAGCTAGTAGCTGCTTCAAAAATTGTTACAGAACCTGAGGAATCTATTGATAAGACTCCCATTGATAAGTTGACAGTAGAAATATTTTCACTTCAAACCTCAGATATTGAAAGAGTTTCGTTTACAATTAATGTTACGTTTTTCGATATACCAATACTCGACGCACAAATCCCATCGTTGTGGGCAAGACAAAGTATTGATGATAGTGTAATTGCAAGAGGTTCGATGACCTACGATCCTTCAGACTATAGTAAAATGTGCTCATTTGCTGATGAACCTTTAGTAGGTAAGAATTTTCGGCTAGACGTTGGGATATCATATTGTATTCGGTAGAGTCTATCATGTTGTTACAGGAAAATAAACCTTTAAAGAGTAAATTTAAAACTAATTTTAAGGCGTCAAATCTTTATATGCATCTTTACAACTGTTAAGTAAACCCGCTTTGTTATTTTTACAGTGACCATCGAACCAATAACTATATCAGAAAATTCATCAGACAAAACATCTGACAAAGCATCAGATAAAATATCAGACAAAACTTTAGATAAAATTTCTGATAAAGCTTCGGAAAAAACATCTGAACGCACAACGGAATCTGTACAATTGGCCAGTGACGCTTTAAGCTGCAACGTAGACATTTTACCAATGTTTCTTGGTAAGCTATTCCACCAATTTCATAAAAGAAGCTTTTTAGATATACAAAAATAACATTTGACAATATTTCGTGTCTTGTGAGTTCTTTTATATTTATTATCACCACAATAATACTAAACCTGTGTACGGCAAAGCAATTTCCAATAATCAATAAGACATCTGAATACAGAAACTGTTTTCTTATAGATACAGACGAATTGTACGTTAAAGTACGACTGCAGCCCGTGGCGCAAATATCAGTTCTAAATGCAATCAGTTGGGACAACCTCCCACTTCTCACTATGAAGCTCTCCGTGGACAGAGATCCAATGAACGATGAACATCATAATGTTCTCGCTAAAGCTAATTATTTTAAATTAACACTAATCGGCTGCTACAATATAACGAATGCATTTACTGATTTCAATTTTGTAGCTGCTTCAAAAACAACCATGAATAATGAAAAGGTTTAATTCTTATCATTATTACTTCTTTGCTTTTTGCTTTCGCCCGCGACTCCATCCGCGTGGAATTTAATAAAAAACAAAAGTGTGTAACCTATGTGTTCTTCCAGACCATCCTCTACATCTACACCAAATTTCATCGAAATTCATTCAGCCCTTTAGGCTACAAACTCTAACAAACATCCATCCATCCATCTAAACATTCCCATTTATAATATTCGTATGAAGTATGAAACTAGTAAGATATAGAAGATTTTTCACGCTTCTATCCATGACTATGTTTAAATATTAGTGTAATTACCACATAATTATATTTCATGTGTCATTTTCCTTGGATTGATTAATTCTCTTTTGTTTCAGGGTAATATTGTGACCAAATTCTACGATGGATACAAAGAACCAAAAGGATTTTCCGGCGTAAGCTTTTTTCCTAAATGGGAAACTATGCGTTTTCAATCAAATGTCAACGCACAATATTTCGAAAAATTTAATTGTACAATAGAAAACATACAAAACGAAGCAAACATTGATTTGAAGAAATATTTTCAGAAATCCACAAGTGAGTGTTATAATACATAAAAATAAATTCCATAGTCTATTATCGTACTAATATCATATAAAATTTTCTACAGGCAATGTAATATGGGCTTCGTTTCATCGAACGCTTCTGCTGAAGAGTACAGAACAATCGTTCCTGGACTTCATACGTCAATACAGTTGGCCATTTGAACTTTATGCTTTCGACAATAACGTTGATTATTCTTTAATGGCTTTTCTGGATTTGTTTAGACTACTCTATCCTGGAGGTATTAAATGCCCTTAAATGTTTGTATATAAGACTAGCTGTTCCCGTGCGACTTCATCCGCACAAAATTACGAAAATTTTATTTTGTTGTTTACATTTGTCAAATTATCAAATGCAAATGTCAAAATGACTTGATGACAAACCATGGTAACCTTTCTTCCTTAATGTTGGCAGCTCGTATCGTATGGTCTTTTTCTCACGTTAGGATTTTTATCTAAAATATTTACCCCCTAAGTTTAATAGCGTGAAAATATATAGCCTAAAGCGTGACGTAAGTGTAAAGCTTTATATAAAAAAAATATTCAAAAACATGCTGTAATTGCTGACATCCTAGGCAAAAGAAGTGTGTGTTTACGCTTTATTCTAATAGTATAGAGTATAGATGAAGTTAATATTTACAAAACCGTTATACGTTACAGAGGATACAATTCGCATGGCAGTGCCCCTGAAATGGTTGGATGAAGCACTAATGAAGGAAAAATGTAACTGTTATAAGTTATTAGAAGTTACAGAAAAAGATCCCTCTACTATTAGTAATGTTAGGAAATCAAGCAAGTTAGTACATCTTCCATTTATTCTGTTTATCTAATTTAAGCTAAATCAAGCACTCAGATGAGAAGGTAAATAAGCGACAATGTATAACAAAAATAGATTTATTTGCAATCCAACACACAAAACATTTCGTTTGTTACAAAACTAGAATTTTAGTTTCACTTAGTAACATGGTCTATTTGAAATATTTTCAGAGTAATATCAGAAGGGACAATGAAAACTGATCCAATACAAGTGACAACAACGGGGAATGATGATACAGATGCCTTCGTTGTTTTAGAAGTCGCTCTTAAAAATCCAATTAGGAAGCCTGCGATCCCGCCATATATAAGTCCGTTAGTTAACTTTTGTAAAAATCATGTTTTTAAAGCCATAAGCGTACTTTTCAATATATACTCACATTTTTAACCAAAAAATCAGAGTTCATTCCTTTAGTAACAATCTAATTTAGTAATAATTTGTTGTCACAGAGGTTATGAAAGTTACAAGGTAATGCAGGTTTGACAAATTGCAATTATATTTTAATCGACTTTTTTCTGATCTTTAATCATAGGATACAAATAAATAAAATGTTAGACGACATGGAAGGTCAGCAGATTCAACGAGAGTGCACGGCGAGAGGACAACTTGCCAAAGATTGGGTGAACGCGGTCAAGATGGCGGCTAATGCGCTGCGCAGGATTTCATACTATGGTACGCGTAAATATTGCCATTAACTGTAAAAGATGATGATTCTATTGATTCAGACTCATTTAACAATATTTAAGGTTCAACCGACTTCTGTACGTTTGACCGTCAGTTCAGCTCGACTCGGACTCGAGTGGAGATGGTCACGTCGTTTTGCGACGAAGCTGCCGTTTATGTCAATAATAACTTTGTTGCCAGAGATTTCTTGGATTCAGATGACACGTTTAAGGTTACATTTGTTCTTTGCTTACATACAGATTTTTTTTGTAAATGCCAGCAATATCCATTTACATCTAAAGAATGAATAAAAACAATTTAATTATCTGAGATAAAAACTATTTGATGTTACATAGGTAAAATGAATGTTTATAGGAGTTGACAGTAATGGCGCACGCATGCCTTGTGCGGGAGGCTTCCGATTGCCTGCTGATGCCTGAGGTGCGGTGGCTGGAGCCCACCCTCAGGGCGGCGCGACACGCTCGCACCTTCCAAGACGTCTACCACGCTGTTGAACTTTATTTTCAAGTAAATTGACAGTTGCATGATACTTTTAGAATTTTTTACAGTTGTTGTTAATTTTAAATAATAATGAATTTCAGCTTCCTTTCTAACAAAAAGCCCTGGTGGTATAAGGGCAATCGCTTTCGTTGGTAGTTTCAACTTTTTTTAAAAATCATGTTACTAGTTAATACTTTAATAAGCAAATTATTGATATAGTGCGTGTCCCAAAATCCTCGCGACGCAAATCTTTGGCGCGAGCTTGCGACCTGCCTGCAGGATCTCGACCAGGAGTGGGCCGATGTCTGTCTCGACAAGTCATTATGTCTCAATCCAAGACACCCTCTAACGTAAGCTAAATCTGGACAGACTAAAAGATGTATGAATTACTCGTAATAATTATAATTACCGTTATTAATTTCCACTACTCTACATTTTTTATTAATAGAGAAATGTTCCTCTCATCCTCTAGATTTCCTGTAACTATGAGACGTCAGCTAACTAACTTTACTTGGTCTGCTTTTTACAGGCTACTTTCTAAAGCGTGTATGCTCTTCAAGAAAGATCCAGACGCGGCCGAGCCGTTCTTTATGGGCTTGTTATTCTTCCAGCCGTTTTGGGTGACTGGGATGGTTGCAGTCAATGCTTATTTCTTGCATAGAGAATGTTTTGAAATGGCTGATGCGATTGCAGAGTGCATTAAAGAGTTAGTTCGTATTTTTATTATTATAAGAGAAAAAAAACGAACACGCCCAGATAGAATCCGTATTATTTGTAGCTGTTGCTTTCTATGGTAATTTCAGTGTACAAAAACAAGGGCTGTCGGATCAAGTGAAGATCCCTCGGGCTTGGGAGAACGAGCTGGGCGATTGGTGGGACGCGACACCGCTACTGCCTGGCATGAGCTTGTATTTCGACTCTGCTGATCTGCTGCTGAGGTTACGAGGTATCAAAGTGAGTAGACCTGGCGACAGCTAATAAATTAAACTTAAAAGTCATCTTAGCCTATTGACTTGATCCTAGGACAAGGATTAGGTCGACAATGCTATAACAATCAACAGGAAAATAGTCTTTTAATTTCGACATATTTTACAATTAACTTTGTTCTAATAATGATTATTTGCAGTTAGCAGAAGTTTGTGTAGCTCAAGCACTGCATACTTGTGGCGACTGTCCTGCCTACTATCATCTACTGGCCCTCTGTTGTCGTCTAAAAGGCGACATTAATAACGCTCTATGTCATATCCGTGAAGGAATCAAGAGATTTGGTGAGGTACACTTTCAAAACAACGTTAAAGGAACCAGTAGTAAACAATTATAAGATAATAACGTATAGAAGACTAAAATAAAGGCAGGAGCATAATAATTTCCAAACTAAGTATCAGATAGTGGTTCTTCAGTTGACATATAATACTTTAGGTTGACAGCTGGATTTGCAAATTTAATAGATACTCTTCGTCTGTAATTTGACACAGATCAGTTATTTGAGGACATTGGAGGCAGAGTGCTATCACATGCAGAAAAATCTTCCAGCCACTATTGCTTCTTTGAACATGGCTGATACGAATCTTGGCTCTTACAGGTTTATTTATAGTCACTAATATTATAAAGAGGAAACATTTGTATTTTTGTATGTACTGAAATAACTCCAACTCTATATTGGGCCATTTTAAGAATTAGATAGGTAATTTATATGTAAGTAACACATGCTATGTTTTTTGTTATTTTTGAATTTCACGGGGTCGTAGTCGCCAGCGTCAACTAGTATGTTATATTTTAATGGTCGATACAGCATAAATATCAACTCGTCTCTACATTATTGATTAAATTAAGTATAATTCAAGGAAGACTGAATAGTCTCATTCTATTAATGCACCATTCGACATTTTAAACTTCATTTAATATCATACCGATGTGGTTCGATAACTACATTTTCTTGATTTTGTGCCAGCGTTCTGCTAGGCATGATGAGCAGCAAGTCGGAGCGATGCCGTTCGTTACTAACAGAGCTGCTGCGTCGACAGCCTAGCGCCTACGCCTGGATGGCTTATGCTGAAGAATGGATACTGGTAACTAAAAGACCCATTCCTTCCAAAAATCTCTAGAGCTGCATTAATGACTATTAAGCGACTCAACTGTAAACAGGCAGCTAAAGCAGAAGCAAAGAAAGCATCACCGAAAGGAGAAGCTCAAGCTATTGCGTACGCAGTGGTGTGCGCGACGGAGGCCCTCAAGATAGACAAGCAGGCGGGCGTCGCGTGGGCACTCCTCGCCAGATTTGTTAAGAAGAACGCGAGGAAAATTTACTGCAGGAAGATGGCCGCCGCGGTAACACCTTTTTCTAATTCCGTTGCAGTTTTTTGTTTTTTTAGTGAAGAGTACTTTTTACTGGACAGTACTTTTAGATATGAAATCTACAAGTTATGTTCAGGAAATGTATATTTTAGTAAGTTAGCCTAATAGCTCAATCGTTAAATATATTTTTTGTACAAATAGCCATTAAAAGCATGTGAACATTTCAGTGCGGACACAGCTGGGTGGGTGAGCGCGCCGGCTCACCGTCAGGATCGCGGCCCGGCTTGTGCCAGAGCGTCGGCAAGGCGCTGCGAGAATGTCAATGCCGAATATGTGCACACTTAATACTGTAACAACTAATTTTATTGTTTGTTTACTTATTACTGCTTATAAATAAACTTTACTGAATTGACATTTTGTTTATGAAAGTGTCAGGCACATTTAGGCAGGTTACCGGTTCTTATGCGATAGTTACTATCTATAAATAGAAATTGGTGATATTTGCCAAGACTTTGGTAAGGTAAAATAAAACTATATCAATAACATTGCCAAAAATCTTTATTTTCAACGGTAGGTATACATCTATAACGATATACTTAATTATACACTTATGATCTATAGACCTATACGAGTATTTAAACAATATTAAAAAAGTAAATAGTTGAAAATTTTAAACAGATTTTTAATTACAGGAATAACTAATGACCTACCTCCCATAGTAACTAAGGATTTTAAGTGTAAAATCAACAGATTGTACGTATAATTTTTATTAACATTATAAAAATTTAGGAATAATTATTGACTTTTAATTATCCTTATCATGAAGCTTCGGATAAATTTCATAAATCTTGTTTTCAATCAACTTAAACTTTATCTTATGATCAATATTATCAACCATCTATTAAAAGATGGCTTAATTCTTTAAGCGGAACGGTGATGCGTGTATCGTGTTAAAATCTGTAGGATCCATAGTTATATTAAACGAACGCATCTTTAAATATCTCTTGAACACCCAGTACGCCAATAACACAATGAACTTCCTGTAAACATATTTTTAATACCTTCAATTTAGAATGCGGTAGAAATAATAAAGCCTAGACAATATAAATACAACATTTTTAATAGACTTCCAAAAGGAGATGGGTCTTAATTCGTCTATTTTTTTTAATTCGACAAAACTTACCAGCTGCCCATTATGGTATATTCACTGTTATTTCTAAAACACGACTAACTATTAGTCAAATTAAAACTGATATGAAATTACAGTTACCTTATAATATTGCCAAAACAATCCGAGTCGTATATTAGAAGGCTTGTGTCACACTGTAGACAATGCTATACAAAAGCTATAAATCATCTTGTAATTTTTGTTTTAGACACTGCTAGAAGCATTTTCTGCTCTAGGGGAGTTTACATAATCGTTTTTTCTGTTAGGTATAATCTGATTAGGGAATAATACATCTTAGATAAAAGCTATGACACTAATATGTATTTTATCATAGCACTAGTGGATAGCGAGCCTTAAAAATTGTTTATTACCTGTTGACCAACTGTTTGTACACATTGTACTAAGTAAACAATAATTGTACTCAATAGTATGACTACAATGAAATAGGTCATCTGCATGTCATGTGGTCGGTCACTCAAATTAGATAGCCGCTGCTTCTGGTATATCCTCGACATTGCAGTCGTTCCTAATAAAAAGGTAATAAGATAAAAACAAAAACTCTGATATCAATTGTTTTACTTATATTTCGGCGATTGGTGATTGAGAAAAATCTTCTGTGAAAATCGTGCAGTAGCACTTTAAAGCCAAGTTTAACATTAATCCATCCAAAATGGTAGGTGAGGATAAATTTTATGAAACTGTTCATAATCTCTCAATCAAGTTTTTATTTTTTTTACAGATACAAACACTATCGATTCTTGTCCTTTTAAAATGTAATGCTTAATTTTAATAAGGAAGGGTAAGTAAAAAAATAAAAACAAAATATATTTCGGTTATGTTGCTTTTTACTATCAATTTTGGATGTAAGTGTACAAGTATGAATTCGAGGAAAATAAAGGAATACGTAATGTTTCATAATACATATATATTATATTCTACATCGCAGTACTCGTTATGAACAAACATTACTTATAAATACTTTCGATAAAGTAATTTCTACCCATTCATAATTTTGTTCGATCGCTCACATTAAGATACCGTGAGAGCGTGTTATTCAGTACATGTGAAAATTATAACAAAAATATTTTAATGTAAATCCAATTGATTTAAATAAAAATAGATAAGAGCTAAAGAAACCATTTCATTCGTTCTTTGCATTAGCAAATACTGCGTAACATCTAACTGTACAGTTACACAACGGAATCGTATCAAAGAAACATCGCCATCGCATTCAATATTTATTACAAACATCCGCTTACAGATGCATTTAGTCCATGTAAAAACACCATGAGATTCTATGTACACGAACGCTTACTGCTTCGGGTTATAACAATTTATAAGTGCAATTCAACTTCAAGCAATATGGAAATAACATGCAAATAAGCTAAATTTATAAATCCAAATTTGTACACAACTAAAAATTTAAATATATAGTTTGAAACACTAAGTTTTAGCTGTATTCAAATTTAAAGCTCGTTATGTTAGTTAATTTTTAATGGTCTTATGCTTAATTTAATAAAATGTAGATAAATTTTGTAATTCTGGTTTCTTTAATTTATATATCGTCTGTTGTTTGTTTGATGGTTACATAAAATGGAAACATTTCAGCATTTCCACATGCAAAATCAGATACGGGCATCAGTGATAGATCGAACATTGTGGGAGAACTATTTGTTCGTTTACATAAAATCTCATGGCAAAGTGCACAGGGTATGGAAACGAGCAATAATCTCACTTTATATCATAGAGTCGTGTGAAAAATTCGCAATAAAAACCTAAAATCCACATACTGAAAATCTAAAAATATATTATAATAGATTTCAAATGTCTATACATAGATGAGTTCACTACGCGCTCGCGACGAATAAACGCGTCCGAAACGTTTACAATGTTTAAATATGTTAAAAACGTACCGAAGGGACTAGACACGTGCTCCGAGACACGTGTTAGCTCGCCCGCGCTCCGTGCGACCCGCCGCTGCGACACGCGCACCACGCTATTGCTGCCTGCGCGAGACGCGCACACATCACTACTGCTGCCTGCGCGAGGCGCGCGCACATCACTACTGCTGCCTGCGCGAGGCACGTGCAGTGCTACTGCTGCCTGCGCAAGGCACGTGCAGTGCTACTGCAGTTTGTATGAGGCACGCGCACAATGCAGCTCCTGCCTGCCTCCCCGAGGCACAACCGTGACATGTTACAGTAGACACATACATAGTATCTTTTGCCTGCCTGAGGCACGTGCTCTGTCGAGTCCAACATCGATCTAAATTCGTCCGTCCATACTTGAGCAACGTAATCAATAAATCGCACGGTATTTTTGCTCAATGGAAGAACGTGATAACATAAACGCTTTAAATATCAGAAGTGTCCTAATTACTAAAAGTTTTCAATAAAAATAATTAATGTTCTTCCACTACGCAAAATTCCTTGACCGTATTATTTCAAACTACGAAATCTTTATTAACAGTAAAACTGTAGTCAAAATTACAAAAAAAGCAAAACATATGCATTTTAAATCCAGTTCGTTAGTAATGTGACGGTTGTGTTGGGGCCGGCGGCGGTGCGGGGTGCGGCGGGTGCGGCGGGGTGTCGGGGCGACGCCGGGGCGACGTCCGCTCAGACGAACACCTTGGCGAGGCCGTCGGCGCCGGCGCTGGCGATGTAGGGGCGCAGCGGGTGGAAGGCCACGTCGAGGATGCTCTCGTCGAACTTCTTGCGGTGGGCGGTGATCTCCTGCACGCAGGTCTTGGTGTCGAGGTTCCAGAGGCGCACGGAGCAGTCGTGCGAGCCGGAGAGCAGGAAGAGGCCGTTGGGGTCGAGCGCGAGGCCGGTGACGGCGTCCAGATGCGCCACCATCGCGTGCGCGCACCGCCCCGAACCTACATCCCAGAACCGGATGTGCCGGTCCTCGTGCGCGCTCACCAGTAGCGGCAGCGTCGGGTGCGCGCGGATGCGGTTCGCGGGGCTGTCGCACGCGATACGCAGGAACGACTGTTGACAAAAATTCACATACATTATCCTATTCTCTCCTATCGTTTACGGGGTTTAGGCTAAGCGCCATCTGCGCTCGGCTCGGCTACCTCAAATCAGGTGAAGCTGTGCCTCTTCAAGGCAAACAGTGACAAATCAGTCCTGTCTAGTATATGTGTGCGAGTGTCACCTGCGTGGTCTCGAGGTCGTAGAGCAGCATGGTGCCGTCGCGGTAGACGACGGCGGCGGCCGCCTCGCCGTCCGCGAAGTCCGCGGCGACGGCGGGCGAGGGCGCGGGCGCGTGCGGCGCGGCGTCGTCGCGCAGCGTGCACAGCAGCGGGCGAGCGGCGCGCGGCGCCCACAGCCGCGCCGTGCCGTCCGCCGACGCCGACAGCAGCCGCCCGTGCGCGCACGCCAGCGACCACACCGCGTCCGTGTGCTCGCGCAGGACCGGACCCTGTAAACACATTTATTATCCAAAGTCACACTTTTTTCGTTCACAAAATAAATGTTCTATTCTTTGTATAAGTACACGTATACGTAAAACGATGTTGGTTACCTGTACCGCGGGATCGTAGGGGTCGTAGGGGTCTGCGGTGGGCGGGGGCAGGTTCCAGACCCGGATAGTGCCGTCGAGGCCCCCGGAGAAGCACTCCTCGGAGCGCGGAAGGCCCATGGCGAGACAGAGCACGGGCGCGGTGTGCGCGCGGAACGTGTATAGGGGCTCCACGTCGAGGCCGGCCGACTTCTTGGCCTGCACGGTCCGCTGCAGGTTCCACAGCTTGAGAGTGTGGTCCTCGGAGGCCGTCACCAACGCCGCTTCGGTCGGGTGGAAAGCGAGCGCACGAACCTAGAAAAAAAATAGAGAAAATCTTAACCTACTATCTAAGGCATAAAATTGTAAAACAATTTGAGATAGTATAAAACAGACATAAAACATTAATGGTGTTAGAATTATTCTAATGTTGCGACATTTTTATAGCTCTTGAATAATTTTTTTGTTATATCATTAACAATTATTTTAAAGTTGTATTATAAATTATGGGGTCTAAACTTATACAATGTATGTACAATATTTTGTACTTATAAGTTATTTTCTGTATGGAATTAATAAAGCTAATTAATAAATAAGACATTTACTCTACACATAAACAGATTTACAAAAGTCGCATAAGATTTTGTAAACGCTAAAGGAAAATTTTCATGTTTACTGTACATAATCAGGCACTAGATTAACAGCATTAGAAAAAAATCCTCGTTGTCACGGAGGGAAAACAAGTCTCACCCCGTCGAAGTGCGAGCGCAGCGTGTACTTGGCGTTCCAGGTCTTGCGGAAGGACTCCTTATTGGCGCCGGAGACGTCGTACGCCTCGGGCTCGTTGCTGACCGTGAGCTGCGCCAGCTCGCCCAGCGCCAGCGGCTTCTCGTCCGCCTCCCCGCCGCCCGCCGCGCCCGCGCCGCCGCCCACCACGCCTGCACACGCACCGTACACCAATGCAACACGTCACTCCAATAATACGTCAATAAGATAAAAGAATTACTAAAAACAAAAATAAAACGTTACAGCCTTAAAGTCACTAGTTTTTGACTCTGCATAAGATAAATATTTCCAATCTGTATTAAAAAGGACTAATCTATACTTCTATACCAATATTATAAAGTGTAAACACACATTGCTTCGTAGCGTAGGATGTCAGTATTCACAGCAGATTTATTAATAATACTTTCTTTAATAAAATATACTCATACACTTACAACACGCTTTAGGCAATATATATTCACGCTATTAAAGTTAAGGGATAAATAAATTGAAAAAAACACCTTCATGTGGGAAAGGGACCATAAACTACAAACTGCCAACATCAAGGAAAAAAGATTGCCATGGTTTGTCATCATTTCATGTCATTTTAACATTTGCAATTAATAATTTAATAAATAGTATAGTTTAATAGTATAGTTTTTATAATTTTATGCTGCACGTGAACAGCTAGTTTGGTATAAATATAAAAGAACTGTCTAATAAAGGTTTTATTACATAGCAGTTTTTCATTAGTATTGAACGGTTATTTTCAAACATTGCAGTAAAAACAAAGTGTTTTTCGAGGTTACACTGAAACGGCCTAATTAAAATGTCTACTTCCGAATAGATTCGGCTACAAAGGCAAAAATTAGTATGGTGGGTCCAAGCCAGAAAATCATTATCATACTGAGATGATAGGAAATGAGAGGATGAAATGTGAAATCATAGATAAGTAATTTTAAAAGGTCAAATTGTTGTATTAAATCAACTAACTTTTTCAATTTATCAGCACGGAACTGCTTCACAAAATAAACCGTTAATGTGAGCGCCTATTAATTCTATTTTTAAGCCGAGTTAATGTTGTATACTCCCATGAAATAAACGCTCCGGCATAGCCAATTACTACTGGATGAATTATAACTTTATTACTCTTCTTCCGTTCTGAACCATCGACAATTTTAGCCATTTTTATTACCTGACTCTTTGAAGGCAAATTATCAGTTGAACAATACTTTATTTTTAAAATGGTGATTAGATTTTTTTACGTTACATCGCGTAGTTTTTTTTAATTAAACGTAAAGCACATGACCAACACCATATTTAGATATAAATTATCTATATATCTTTGACCGTTTCAATTTAATCATTAAATTATAGACAATTTATATGTTTAAATTGTTAATATTCTAATCTATTATTTGTGAGTCATGTGTGTAGTGCTCTTAATTTCCTGGAATTATTAATTAATCACTCCAATGACAAGGACGTGAGGCCTGTTTCTGAGCTCCCTCTGGCTATCCTTATATTAGATGTTAACAACTAAAGCCATTTAGAATCAATCAATGTCTTCAAAACTATAAACCGCTATGTATTTAATTGATTTAAAACTCATCATTTTAATAAGATCTCATTACATTTATATAAATTATCTCTCGTATTAACGTCAACTAAGCCTTGTGTTACGTATATTGGCAACACTTGACAGGAATCGTCATTATTACTTAACATTCAGAATTATGAGTAATCTAGCTTCCGCCCACGACTCCGTCCGCGTGGAATTAAAAAAAACGAAAGTGAGAAGCCTATGTGTCTTCCAGACTATCCTCTACATCTATACCAAATTTCTTCGAAATCCGTTCTGCCGTTTAGGTTACATACTCTAACAAACATCCATCCATCTATCTAAACTTTCGCATTTATAATATTAGTATGATTGAACAAATATTTTAAGTAACAAAACAAAATCTATCATTTCCTTAATCCTACGAAACGCTAGTAATTTATTAAAGAACGTAAATCGACAGACAAAAATAAACCTAGAACACATTAATCATTAGATAATTAACGTATTATCATACAGTAGTAAAGGCACACTTTCACAATACAACAAAAGGCAAAAGATAATCTAGATTGAACGTAATTCTATTTATAATCCGACTCTCACCGATCTAACACTGGAATATTGATTAAATAGCCTAGATAAGATTAAACAGGCCAGCCATCGACCATTCCTAGCTTTTAAAACTTTAAGAGATAAAAAGTAATACAAAACAAATTTAACTGCGTATTCCAGTTAATTGAGTTATAATCAATGCTTAGAAAGTTTGTCGATGCGTAAGTACAAAATACAGCAAAGTTAGGGAAATACTGTCAATGAGTTATGACTTTCACTATTACAGTTGGTATGATCCACGCATTGGAGTATTTACGCGCAATTACAAATATCACTTATCTAACTTTTATATTATTTGAGTTTCGAAAAAAACTTTTCATCTCAAAAATCTACTCTTGTATCTAGAATGAGGGTGCTGAAATACTTTTCAGATTTTGCGTCTCAACAGAGCGTAATATAGTTAAACGATTTTAGTACGAATTATCTAGACGTCAACATAGAAGTAGAAAATTAGAAGTATGACGTGATTAGACTAGAACATCATGAAACCGTGTACTAGCTAGCAGTAAGAGGGAGGGAGCTCGAGAGGGAGAGAGAGATGGGGATATATACTCACCGACTGGACACTCGTCGCCCTGTCCGCCGCCTTCGGCCTCGCTCTCTGCCAGCAAGTTGAGCACGTTTAAAACCTCCTCGGCTTCGTTGTCTACCTCCTCGCCTTGTTACGAGGATCAAAAGCGATATATAATAAATTAATTAAATAAACAAACATCACACACCCATCACCCAAGCAAAAAACCACGAATAATGTTCATTAAAAAACCGATCCAATAAACGGATATATTCGGAAATTAAAAAAACAAAAACGTCAAAACGCAATAGAATAAAAAAGAAAAAACCAAACATCGTAATCATTGTAATCATAGAATGTCCAATGGGTGCCTGAACAGAATAGAATAGTTTGCTTGTACCGAAACAGTTTCTATTAACATAAGAAACATTATGTTAATTAGCAATACATTCGCGCACACAAACCGACGACACGTTTATACATTTTTGCATCGAGTTAGTTGAACCGAGATATCGTTTGATTTAATTTGTAATTCTTAACCATCGTCATAGAAACGCCTTTATTTAAATTAACTTTAAAATAGTAAGTTCATACACTAGTTTTCCCATCACGTTTCGTTCATAAATCAGAGGCAAGGGGAAAACACAACTTTTAATATGGGCATTTGTTGCTATTTTTGAAACTAAACAATAGTGAAAACTGAAAATGCGTATTCTTTTGTGTCAATATTTTTTGAGCACAACGAATGCATTATTCTGATAGGTTATGATAAAGCTTTTGTATTACAAAAATTCTACGAAATATTGTAATGTAAAAACCTAACTTTGACCTTGAGATTATTTTTCAATGTCCTTATTTTTCATAATCTAAAAAATTATGTTCCAAGTCCATAATAATTATATGTTCTGTACATCAATTCTTACTGACATTTCTTTTTTTCATATATGTATAATACAAGACTATTAATGTCTACAACAATATCAAATATTAAAGATGTTGTGTGGATAAGAAATAAAGTAGAAAGCAAAGAGGACATGAACAAAGCAATTATTTTCAAATTAACAATGACTTTGATAGTAAAAGGTTTTCCTCTATAGTTGGTTTTCACTGCTAAAATAAATGTTTTAAAACATCAACCCTTTGTTATTTTATATGATTTATTTTTTATTTATTTAAAAAAAAAACTGAGGTAAAGTAGCAAGAGAATTTTTTACACATTATGGCTGTTGAATTGTCAATGTTGCACCCAGTGGACATTTCTGTGCTCAAATAAAAGCATGTTTTCCAATGTGCGTCTAGATAGTAAGTATTATTAAATATTCTTACACTCATCCCATGATTACGCTAGGCTAGCTAGAGAGGAAAGTAATCGCCCAAAACACAAAAAATGGAGAATTTATTAATAAAAGAATATTTCCTTACATTGGGTGTGTAATACAATAAGCAAAGATTCAAATCAGTAAGAATCATAAAAAAACATTTCAAAACCAAAATTCCAAATAAGTTAAACAGTATTATTTACGTCTGCATACATAATTTATGTTTGAAATCTGTGCTTATATTGTTTATTTAACATATATAAGAATGAACAAATCTTTGAAACACAAAGCTAATAAACACTGTCAACTATGAAAGCTTATTATGAAAGCGAGCACTTTTTTATTTATTTTTTCCAAACTATCTTAATGAAGACTGATTTAAAAATTTGATTTATTATATATGCAGTGAAGAATACTATAAATTTTATTATAATTATTTAAGAATTTCATTATATCACATTTTTAATCAATTGTTTGATTATATGGTACAGTAAAAATAGGCAATTATAGCATATTGGAATATTCTATTATACAAAGTGTAATGATTAGTACTTTATTCAACATATATCAATATATATTATAGTAAAAATAAACTACAAGATATACTTTTTAAAACAAATTAAACAATCATTTTCATATCACATAACCATAAAATACAAATTGCAAAGTTTTGTTCATTCAATATAATAGCATAAAACAATCACAGAATCCTATAAGAATATATAATACCTTGTTTAGGTGGTGCGTGGTGTGGTTTATTTGCATCTAGATCGTCTATTTCATCCATATCCATCTCCTGGTTGGCGAGGAACTCGAAGTTAGCAAACACAGCCGCAGTCTCTTGTACAGAGAGGCCCTCCTCATTGTAACCTCCACCCGTTGATACACCGCCTTTACGTTGCTCCTTACCCCCTAAATCATACAATATATATGAAATAGTTATTTTTACATGAGAAAGAAATGGTATCTAAAAATGTTTTTTTTTAAATATGATGATAGAGCAACATCAGTGTGACTATGATTTTTCAGGAAAGAAAACTAAAAGTTAGAAAGAGTTTGGGTATCATAAATAAGTGGACCTGCATACTCTATAATTGTTTAAAAATTAGAACAATTTCTTTAAGTATACTAAATTTACATGAAATTAACACTGGTGTCCAGAATAACACTGTTTAATAATGGCTCCTAACTATAAACATAGCCTATGTTACTCCCAGATAAATTACCACTCTAATGGTAAATGTATTTTTAAAATGGGCCCAGTAGTTTTTGTGTGAATCAAATACATACAAAAATACAAATCTTTCCTCTTTATAATATTATTATAGATGTTACTTACCATAGTCATACTTGCGGATTAAGGAGTTTATTGGTGAATCTCCGCATCTCTCGCGGAATTTGTTATCATTGTTTCTATAATTGGGGTCCTCTGTCTGCTCCTCATTGTTGAGGCCGAGCAGAGTCCGCACGCGATTAGAGCGCACATCCAGTATCGTGTCTGTGTAGCCTATTTCCTATTAGACATAGCAATCAAGTATTGTTAATCGTAGAAATCACTTATACCAATTTTTATCCAGTTTAGCAAGATACAATTCCTTGAATTAGATTAGTCATCTTTACTGAATCTGAACAGGATATAATTGTACATAAAAGTTTCTAGACAAAAATCCTTTGCTGTTTTGAATAACAATAAAGGTAAGAACTAAGGTAAATCATATGTGACTTTTCTTTTGTCTTTTGACAATGAAAATCTTTAATACTTAACCTATATGTTAAACCATTAATAAAATGCAACACAGCTAAACAGTTTGATTTTAAAGGTATTTTAATATACTTCTGAGAGGCAGCATCCTATGTCCAACAATCAACAATTTCTAATACATATGCTACTTAGAAAGATAATTTATAACCTACAATTTGAATTATGGTTAACAATTTAACTAGTGATATGTATATACCTGGAGGTACTGTTTGATGAGTTGTCGGCCCTGTTTCCACTGTGCCTTCTCCGCAGGCTCTGGCTCCGTGGGCGGCTCCTCTGGTGGAGGACGTACATCGCCCTGTTGTAATTCTACACCATATTTGAGCTTATGGAACTTTGCTCGCTCCTGCTTTAGTGCATACTCTAACATTTTAATCCGCCTTACGAGATCATTTTTTAGATTTTCTTGACCTTTTCTCTCACCTTGAAGGAATGCAATCCTTGCCTGTGGAAATATTAATTTGATAATAGAAAGAAGGACAAGTAAAAATGATCACCTTTATATTCCTTTATACTAAAACATCATTATTAAATTTCTCTCTCTTCTTCATAGGATAGTGATCTAATATCATATGTGGTGGTCATTACACTTTTACTTATAATATTGTGAAATTGTAAGAAAAAGTTAAGTGAAATTATTTAGGGATATCATTTTAAGATATAAGAGTATTAGCATGAAAATTTTTGTATTTCAATTGTTTATTTTTACCTTTGTAGAAGATTAAAATAGGATTTTGAAAACTCTGATTCCAATTTATATTTAAGTCACATTTACTAGTCTACTACTACATTTACTAGTAAGTCTAAATTAGTAGGTAAATATTCAGGATTTCCAATTTGTACAGTAACATTAGTGCTTTGTAATCTTATAGGACTAGCCAACTAGAGCATAGTAAAAGTGGTTCTAACATCTTATATATGTTATAAAAGTCTAGATAGCACATTTACACACATAGCACATCCATGTGTGTTTCTGCTTTTCCTTTATGTTTACAATTATTTTTAAGAGACAAGGAAACCTTTTGCATAACAATGACACAATAACAAATTAACAATATTGTGCAAAAATTATGTGTAATAAGAATATCTCTACTATGTTAGAGATACTATTAATACATAAACATTGTTTTTTCATAAACAACTAAGGTTATTTATGTAAATGTTATTTTATCTTAACAAAATTGTAAATATCATTGTTTTAAGTACAGAAAAATCCTTATATTAAGATTAAATCCGATATCGATTTATTATTGATACACGAAACAAGATCGTCTACTCATTACTCGACTATGTATATACAATTTTAACATTCTATGTTTCGTATGCTGACACTCGCATTTTTGTATCAAAAATAATTAATGCATGAGACAGAATTTACGTCTAAATAACGTGGGTATCTTGTTTTGTATAACATTTTATCCAAAAACAAATTTAAAGCAAAATAATACAATCCACATCAAAGCAAATTGTAACAAAATTATCGAAGAAAACTGAAATAAAATTATACAAAAGAAATTGTGTAAGGCTACAGGGATAGTCGATACATATAAATCAATAGAAATTTACAAATAATTACCTCAAATTCGGCTCTGTCCACCTCCCATTGTGATCTCTCGAGCTCGAATCTCGCCCATTCATGTTGGATAAAATGCAAAATGCCTGGTATTGAATACTGGACACTTTGGCTAGATTCTTCATTTTGTTTATTATTTACACTAACTCCGATTTGAGATCCCACTTGCCCTCCGTTATGATGAGACACGGAGCTATCATCCATGGCTGTGGGGATTTTCATGACATGGCCACCATTACCGTACTTGTCACAGACCTATCAAGAACTACAAAATGAACTACGCGAAATGAAATACTAACACTTCATGGTTAACAACAATCTAAATAATGTTCACGTTGGCGACATCGAAAATTCTTTTTAATAACGAATTCAAGAATGACAAAAATTATTGCATGACGGAATACAAAAGTCGAAACGACGTCCGTCCGCTATACATTGCTTTTTTTCTTTTTAATTTGAGTGTTGCCATTATATTCGGTGAATGTTAATTTGTCACGAATTCTATTTTCTGAATACAGATTAAAAATATATTTTATGCTTACAAGAAGGGAGGAAAAAAGTAAATCTTAAAACCAAAAGGGTTTCTTTAGCAACAGATGTAAAGTTACTTCATAACATCACACATACTGTTACAAAAGTGTCACATCCATATTACGATTACATCTCGTAAATGGAAGTGTACATTACAATCATCTTATCCTTTTTGCTACGGCGGATCGGTACAGTAGTAAATGTACTACTCTTCCATTCATCTTATAGTAATATATGAAGTTATTCCCTTACTTGTAAACCGATAGACAGTAGCCATGAGAAAACCAGCAGTTGCTACATTGTAATGCCTGGTTTGATCGTCGTGCACTAGTACCACTACATACTAGCATAATATGGGTAAATTTTTATTCTAAATATAACAGCAAACGAGAGATAATTTATGGAAAGAAATCCATTGTTAATACTTCCTGCAACTGTATTCCAATAGTTGTCATGTTAATTTTAGTACCTAAACTTTTGCTGCAATGTAGTGTACAGTGAGTGACTGTATAGTAAGCTGACAATTATTACAGTATAGTATACAAACGGATATTTGTCCCCTCCAGGGAAAGATGTATAGTCGAATTCAAACCTTTCTTAACAATTTTACTTTTATAAGGTTGTAATCATGAAGAAGAATCACAGACTGACCACAGACATGTCATCAATTTAGGCACAATAAATCCAAATTAAATCCAGACAGTAGATGACATCTATAAATATAATTTGTAATTCCAATTGAATTCAATTATAGTTTAAAATACTAAAAGTAGACAAACATTTATTTCTCTCATAACCCTATAGTCATTAGAGTATAAACTTCTATTACTTGTAAGACTAGTTTCCATTCATTAGACAATTTACCTATACAGCGTCATGAGGATTGAGGTATATTTATGAAATAAAAGCAATTAATTGTTATGACAGTATATTGATTTCACAATCAATATATCATTGTACCCTTAAAAACATCACATTCAAGAGACAGGAATGATAAAACATAGTCTGGATGAACACAAAAATGTGATGTCTTATGAATGAAAACATTAAATCATTGGAATTATTAAACTATGATTGGTGGCAAATTTAATTGGACTTTTTAGAATCTTTGGATGGAGAACGTGATCTGGAGCGCGACATGGACCTCCCCTTGGAGCGAGAGCGCGAGCGGGAACGGCTGCGGGACCGCGAGCCGGAGCGCGGTGTGCGCGACCTCGTGCGGCGGACACACAACAACTAACATTACACTCTCACCACGAATGTATACTTATTACAACTGTCCACTATAAACAAAAATTTTAATTGTATATGTATAGGATGTTTAGGAAAGTTTTTTTTAAATATTATAGATACAAAAACATTGAATATAGCTTATTTGATAATTTCGTAAGTTTACTATAAAGAATCTTTTGCTAAACTCTCCATCAATTTTAGTACTCATGAAATAAAATATTGTCCTAAGATAATAATTCTGACTGATATTTTATGACAACCCCAATGAGAATTTTAATTGTTAGTGTTAACTTTGTAACATATAAAATCTTCTATGCTCCAAACGTTACCTCTATGTGTCCCAATGTGCACTCCATTGTGTACATTAATGTACTGTCCTAACTATACTTAACTGAATAACTGAAAATAAATGATTATAACAGCAGGCCTGCTCTGAACACAAATATGGGATATAAATGTGTAACTCACTGAGTGCACGCAGTGATTACATTAGACGTGTGTCGCGTCGATTGAACAAACATAATGCTCAATGTAGTTTTCAAAAAGTGAAGTGTGCACGTAGGCCGTCACTACGTAGTTCGCAGAGCGAAGTTACAGTTGTCAATAAGCGGAGTACACGCCGCGAAGTGTAAGCTACGTAGCGCAGACAATAAGAAGTGCAGACTCTGAAGAGTTCGTTCTCGGCGCACAGGCCAATGATAACCTATAACATAGTTATCATTGGTATACGTGAGTCCCACACATTGGACATGGAATCTTTAATGTTACCCCAGTCTTGTGTTAATAAATATTACATCATGATGTGTACCGAACCAATTAAACATGCGAAAAATATAAACATTTACGAAGATTCACAGCCTCAAAGATTCCATACCAAAAACACATACATTTGTGTAAATATAAATATAGCTACCTGCGGCGCCGGCGACGTGTACAATCCCGTGCATAATGACCACGGTCCCCACAATCGTAGCAGCGATCGTCATAAGGACGCGGTGGAAGACGAGACCTAGGCGGCGGCCCACGTCCGTACCCTCTACTTCCATTGGACATTTCCACTCTAGCACGCCGGCCACAAATCGTTCGTCCATCTAACCCACGAATCTAAAAGATTATGATAATATAACATCATTCGAATGTGTACATGTTTCTTGTAAGAAACAAATACAAAGAATCACGGATTTCTGAAATACCAACCGCATCCTCAGCGTCACGGGGATCTTCAAATTCTACAAATGCGAAGCCGGGTGGATTCCTCGCTACCCACACATTCCTTAAGGGACCGTAGTATGAAAAGGCATCTTCTAGTTCTGGTTTACTTGCATTATTACCTAAATCACCAACGTACACCTTGCAGTCACCGTAGCGTGACATTTTCTATAAGCCTGTAAATAAAGCAAATCAGGAGTAACCGACGCATACGCTATGGCGTATCTTGATGTCCACATGGTTTTATTTTTATTACCAATGTTTGTTTTGTTAATCCTCCAAACAATTATACCACATTTGTCCGAAATACACTTAAAGTAACTTAAAAATAAAATTAGAAGCTTTTATCTTCCTACAATATTATTACAATATCCGAGCACCGACGCCAATGTCCACAAAATGGCGGAAAAGGATTAAAATCAGTGTATAAACAGTGTTGCCAAAAAAATATTTTTCCTTGACCGTGTCCATTGTACAATGTATAAAAATGAAAAAATCAATGTATAAATGTGATAGGTAGCTTTTCAAAAAGGTGCAGAATCTGCTACAGGGTACATTTTATGTTTTTGTAATTTGTTGATCTGAAAGCCGTAAAAAACGGCATTTTCGTAACATTGACACTATTTATATATATAACAACTCCAAAGGATGGCAATATTGCCTTAATACCATAATGCAATATTTCCAGCCCTTTCATTATTTTTGGAATAAAAGGTGTTTTAACTACTTTTACCCCCTCCTCTAAATCATCGGCCTTCCCCCTTAGAGCATCGGCTGGCAATGCCCATGCTTATGAACAAATAGTGTTCGTACTTCGTATTCCTAGCATCCCATCTGAAACACGCGGTAACGACAGCCCCCTTACTGAGATAATGATTATCGGACAATGAATATATTTAAACATTACTTTGTTATGGATTTTATATGTAACTAAATTGGGTCTCCGGAAAACACTCATCAGGCAATACGAGAAATTATTTTCTCTTGACGCTTCACGCCTGTTTTTGTGTACTTCTGGTATTGCACCGGGTGCGACAACCTATTCGTGCAAAGGTGTTAAAGCGGGCTCTACCACTGTTGATAAATGAGATAACAATTATAAATTGGATAAAATGTTTATTAACACTTACGCTACTTTTACAATGTTATGAACATGGCGGCAATGTATAAATTTTTACGGATCCAGGTATCGATGTACTCACTTAAGGGAGATTTATTTATTCTATGTTACACTTGTTATAAATCATCGAGCAATTTAGGTAGATAAAATTATATTTGAGATCAATATTATATTATTTTCTACACAAGTTTAAGACATTGTCTAAATACACAAAGCATTTATTGTATTAGATCAAATTATATTCAACGACCCAAGAAAATAGATGATAATTAAAGGCCTGAATAACAAAGACAAAAATGATATTAATAGCATATCTAATTTTAACACATTTTTTTAAAACATTATATTTACTTCATACAATTTAACCCATATTTTATATAAATACAAAGAGGGTCAAGACCAGTTGCGTATAAACTTAAATGATATGTTTCATAGATGTGATACATTTATTTAAAAAAATAAAAGTACATCCCATATTTTATTTTGTATTTTCATAAATATTCATCTTTATATAATTTTTTTAAATTATATTTGTGTGGAAAGTGTAAAAACATGTTACTGTAAAAACAATTCATATTTTTGTATTAATAGTATATTGCTGTTAAATATACATATATTGATATAAACTTAATTTACATAGATAAAAAATATTATACGCTTAACTGGAACACCTCTATACCCGTCACATAAACTCAATGTTGCGTTCTTTATATTAATTAATTAAATAAATATAAAAATAACTATAATATAATAATCTCACTTAAAAATTAACATTATACATATTCTTTACATTTTAGGAGAAAATTATAAGTTTTAGTGTTTGATTAAAAATTACGCATTACAATGTATTAAAATGAATATCTCAGCTAAAAAAAAAACAGTATTTTAATATTTGTTACAAGCTTCAGAAATACAATATTAGAATTTATAGACATAAAGTTAGAATAATAAGGAATTGTAATATTTTCGGGGTTCACAAATTTAGTGTTATATACAGGTTTCAGAATGTAGCTTTATTTTTTATAAAAAATTAAGGGTTGAATTATAAACATCACCATTTTCCCATGACCAGTAAAAAAACAAAATAATAAAGGATGGCACATAATTTTAGATAACAATTGCATTAATACAACATAGCAATATTGCTAGTTTAATATTTAACTCATTTCAGTCAAATGCAGATATTACCTAATATTAATTTTAAGGTTTGGTAAGGTAAAAAAAAACTATTTTATAAAATTTGTGATGAGTTATTATTAAGATTATTTTACAACATTCTGCAACAAGTGAAGAGAGCACAGTTTTAGGTATACTTTTATCAGTGTTTATTTTGGTTTTAAAATTATAGCAAGTGCAAAATTGTAGAGAAATACCTGCTCTCAATTTTGATAAAAGTATAAAAATAAATTAGAAAATTCTACAACTATAATCCAATTTTTTTACATCAAACGTTATCCATCGATCATATATTAAAATAAAAAGGTGTAAATATTATAAAGTAAAATATCTAATTGACGAAATATTGAGTATGTTTTAATTAAAGTTTTAATGGTTTACCAAATATAGGAAGAATAGAAGATCTACCAACAAATGTCATGACTGAGATTTTAATTGTTTATAATATGTGATGGACATACCAAAGTTGCATAAAAGAGGCCAAAGTCAAAGCGTAATAAATTTGTAAAAAAATCGAAAACATTAGTTAATCTAGCCATTAAATTATAGTTCACTTGGACATTTTTCGGTGGTATGAGAAAAAGTTTAAGAATTGATACTTTTGATGTACCTTGCCAAATTGAGTCTTCCTTAGTAATATTTTTAATTACAAAGTTATCCTCCATCTTTGAGCAAACCACAAATTCGGACCGTACCTAGCACCGCTCCTGATCATGCCTGATTCAAATAGTTTTCTGTACACTAGGTAGTAGCACTAAGTGCAAAGTATGTAGACATTTTAAAATTTACATCTGAATAAACTCAAAAAAAGGAAATGATGGCAGAGCCAATATTTTTAGCTTGAATTTACAACATTGAAAGTGGCTGCTACCTCCACAAAAGTACATCAGAGATCATATTATCTGCTCATATGCAAAAAAATTGTTATAATGCAGTAATTACCCCGATAAAAAACTAAAAAAAGTGTTTCAACTTTGTTGTAAAATATAATTAGTACTTAAATAAATATATCTATAATATTTATCATCACTTTGTACAATTATCTTAGTCTATGAACTCTACGATTATACATACATATATCCGTACACTACACCAGAATTTAATGATACCATATCGTGCGAGAATTCACAAAATGATACAAAACCACGCACAATTTACAAACTCGAAGTCACAAACATCAATTCTCTTCCACATATATAAAAGTACGTAAACCTAATGAATTTCCCAAATAATCTTAACAAGTCAAAACGACTTGGCATATCACAAATCTACAGGAAACTCAGCAATACTTACGTAAAAGCACTCACAAACCTGTTTTAATATTGCAAACACATTCTACTTTTTACTTTATGAGATGCGTATACTTGAAAACGCCCATTACAAGTTTCACTTCCCTCACTTGACCCGTGAAATATTACTGTGAAACGACCTCAACAAACTAAGAAGAATTACGATGAATTTCAAACATTATCATACAAAATTCATGCACATAATACTCAGGATTCTTTACACATTCAAATAATCACTGGGTTGTAATAAAATATGTAAATAATGTTCATTAAAATATACACAGACTAGATCAAAACGGATCACATATTAGGGCATCTGCAGACGTTGCTTTCGTTGCCGTCTGTATGACAATATCTGTGTTTCCATCTGCTGCACTTCTTGTAATGGCGTTGTTTCTTGATGTGGTATTTCTTGTATCTGTTTCTTCTCAGGTTTTTTCACCAAATGAGCATTAACTGGGTATTTCAGAACGGTTCGTAATTGGTCATTGTGCTCTTCTAACGAATTGATGGCATAATGGTGAACAAGTTCGTTCAAAGTTCTGTAAATAAAATAAGGAAATATTATATACATTGAATTAACATTACAATGCCACTACAATTTTTTTAATATGACATTGAACTCGCTAGATTAATCAACATGTTAAACATATATTTACAAAGTATAAATTTTCATCATCAAGATTATCCATCAGCCATATACAAATATACAAAGGTCATCAATCCCAACAGATCACTGGTATACATTGTGAGTGTACAAAAGACGACAAAGGTATACAAACAAAATCCAATTTCTCAAGAGTAGGACTAACAATTTGACAACAATTATCTAAGTTGCCAGTGATTATAGGAATCTATTATAGAATCAGTTATATCTAACGGTGGTAGTGCCCGCTTTAACATCTTAGCATGAATGGGCACTAATTTATGTCTCTTTCTCTTTACCACCCTTTTCTCATAAGAAGGGGATGGGAAGGGGAAGTGGATTAGACGGAGGAGGAGATGCATAGGAAGGGGAAATATCCTCTTTATGTGCGTCTCCTCCTCAGTCGGATAAGGGTAGACAACGCATCTGCAATTGCGGATGTCTATGGGCAGCGGTCGCTTCGCCATTTTGGCGGATTCAGGTGGCCGCTTGCCACCTTCGTTTGCCACCTTATGTTATAAAAAAAAGGAATCGAATGACTAAATTTATTTGCAAAAATAAAAATCAATATTTTAGAGGGACAAAGCAGGGAGTAAAGTCATAGTTATACTATAAATATAAAATACTAGAGGAATATCATTTTAATGTTATAAATGTGGTTTTATTAGTATCAGAACAGGATAAAATTTTAATTATTTCATATAATTAACATGCCCACTGTAAGAGGTATTAACACATTTTTTTAATGGTTGATGAGATGCTATTGCAACAAATCAGACTATAAAAACAACTTACTTATAAATATTGTAAGGTTCTGCAAATCCATATCCTCTTTCAGTCTTGAAAATGATGCAATGGTAAACCATATTATTACAGCAAATAGACAATGCCAGTTGTCCCGTTGAATTGGGTCTTATTAAAAATGTTCCTTGAGGTTTTCCTTCAAGCATTTTCTCTGCCGTATCTCTTGTACAATTTTCCACCATCCAACTTATTGACTCATTGTGTGCATACAATTGTTCAAGAACATGAATGTTGTTATTTTCTAAAGCTTGAATATATTCCTCGGTCTTACCTCTTCGTTTAAGCCATCTGAACAAAATAATACAAATTATAAATATGATTTAAGACACTTTAACAGAACAAATGTAAACTTCATCCGATTTTTATTTATTTTTTAAATAAGAAAAATTATATATTGCACAATAACTTTAACGGTTGTTAAAATATGAATATTTTAGATTCAATTTTATTTACTTCTATATTAAAAGTATGTATTGTACAATCATCTAAAAGTTTTATCAATGTTATCAAAATGCTGTAATGTCCTAGTTGTGCTTTCTAGGTCACAAAATTGTTTGATAAAGTAAAAACTACAGAAATCAGGAAATATATTAATTTTTGCCTAGGTTTAAACCACCATTTTTCAGTCTATACAGATTCTAAAACAGCTTTTCTTACTTTCTATTCATTAGTTATCCAACTTGGGCAAATGGTAATATTGGTATTAAATTAAATAGGAAGAATGCAAGCTTCTTTCCTTTCTATTTTAGTATTCATGCAAATACAATATTGGACTATTCCCTTAAAATTTATACTAACAAATACCCTTACCCTGGTTTTCTATAGGTAGAAGAAAAAAAAATAAAAACTTACACTTTGTATCTGTCCTTTAGTTTGTATAGATTAATGATATCAGATTTTAATTTGGTTATTTCTCTTTCAAGCAATAAGTTAGATTCAACAGTTTCCCTCAGTAAATTATATAACTGCAATTTTGCTTGTTTTAAGTTGTTCACTTGTGCTACTAACTGTTTGTTATTTTCTATGAGAACATTTTTCTCATGAGGTTGTGCTTCAGTGTGCATTTTTTCTTGTAACTTTAAATGTTCCTCACAGACTTTGACAGCTTCACAAAAAGCATCATGAGATTGCCTCTTCATTTTGAGTTTTCCTCTTAGCTTCATATATGAATCAGATCTTTCATCATAATTCTTGGTTTTTAGCACAAACTCCTTATGGATCTCCTTGTACCTAGACTCGAGGGCTTCATCATTGATATTATCAGCACCATCATTCTCTTGTAGCCTTGACAATGGGTACATGAGTTTAATATCAAGACTGCTATTGCAATGTGCCAGGGAATATTCTTTATAAAATTTAACCAAATCCACAACAGAGTTGAATTCAAAGGGTTCACAAAATCCATATCTGTTATCTTGGTTGTAGATCTTTATTAATTTGTTTGTGCCACCTTTTCTAACAGTTAATGTATAACCACTATCTTTGTTGGATGCATTGCGAACCAGAAAAGTACCATCACAGGTATCCCTAAGGATTTCATTAGCTTCATCTCTGAAAAATTATGATATTATATGAAATCTTAAAGAGAAATATTTTATCATCACTACAATGATGCATCATGCAATTATTATTCATCTGTTGTAACAAACTTTTCTTTACCCTAATTCTAAAAAATATCAATGTTTTAAGTGCTTTTATGGTATTTTAAAAAACCATTAGCTTAATTTGGGTATGAATTACTGCCTTCCTTTTCAGTGTCTTTGAAACAAGACCCTTGTTATTATGCATTTTTGGAGAGATAAGAAAATGGTTATAATTTTAAATAATCTGCTAGCCTATTTAAACAATCATTTTCAGTAGAAAAAATTGAAAAAAAATTGAAGTTAAATGGTTACTTAATTTGGACAGATAATTGATGTTTCTATATTGTCAAATAATCAGTGTTTTAATGGTTTTTATAAATATGAAGAAAAAGTAAGTTACAATTGATAGTTTTTAAAAAAATATTGTTGTTGCATTTTTAACTTATCTTGTAAAAATATGTATGTATATATAGCATGAGAACTCAAAAACAATTAACTTGCATAATTCACCAAGACTATCACAAATGATGCCCTCTATCATCTCCTAGCTGGAATATGTTGAATTACCAATACATATCTATATATTGGTGATGGATTTTTGTTTAACTTTTGGTAATACTGAACAATAGAATACTGTGCTGAATTTTATATAGGAAATTATTATATTTACATTGTTGTGAAGTTTTTTCGAGGGGAGGGGGGGGAAGTAATTTACTTTAAGAAAAAGACATTTTTTTTTACTTTCCCATAGTAACAGTTCCCTACAATTTTTATGATAATCACACAATAGAAAATGACCCTCGAATTTTCGACCCTTCAACTTCAAAGCAATGTAAATTAGGTAAATTAAATTAACTTTATATGGTAGGATTTCCTATCTATATAAAGTTAATTTTATGAAAATTGGGCATGATTCGTGTTATAAATTATTGCATTATTTTTAAATGAAAAATTTATTACCTTGTAATATCACCCCAGTACCATTCTGCATTCTCCAAACTCTCGTCAGCTGATTGTTGGTTCACTCCTATTTCCACCATTATAGTAACGATAGAAGCACACAGAAAACACTACAACTTACAAACTAAACCAAATTACTAAACTATAATTTCACATCAAAACTGATATAGTGAGAAAATGAAAGATTATTGTCGCTTCCGCCTGATGGAGGTTATGAAGTAAAAAAACATTTTAACAATAAAAATGACCCAAGTTCATCCTTATAAGATCATAGTACACCATGGATACAGTGATGGGAAAATTTGAGCATTAATAAAAGTAATTGATACTAAAATATAGATTAGGAGATCACAAAGGAAACGGGCTAGGTACTTTTGACCGCAGTTTCTATGGCTGACAAGCACAGAAGTAGATCACGTTAGCATTCGAAATCATTTTCCCACATATTTTAATCATCAACATAGTTATAGTAATCTAATCGAACACTGAACATATTAATTGTATACTCGTATCATTATGTTCTCATCTTCACATATCTAAACCAATCTAAACTGTAAAACACCATCCACCATAGATTGCGGTCAATCAGAATCTTACAGATGATATATATGTAACTATAAGTACTTCGTATATTTATAACATAATTATTATTTATAATAATTTAATTGTATAATTTAGGATAAAGCTTAAGTACACTCAGAAAATTCCATGATTGTTTCTTATGTTATGTAGTTGCTCATATCAGCTTTTTAATTATATTTAGTCAGTCATAGTCAGTTTTTTTTCTTTCAAATTGTACTATTTATATATATAGAAAGTATTGTTATAACAACTGTTTATGTGATAATTTAATTTTTAAAATAAACCATAAAAATATTTTCAAATGAATTTGTGCAACTTGACTGAGTGCTTTGATACATTGCCAAAATTCTTAAAAACTACAAACTTTGACGTCCTATTTGACACTAAGTTTTGACTTTTGACAATTAAAGATAGATATGCAAGACATAAAATAGTACAAATGATAGCCTGGTCCATTTTTGCGTAAGAAAATATTACTTGGTACACTTTCAATTAAGCACATAAGAAAATCATGGGTAGAATTGTAACATATTGAAATATGAAATATGATAAGTGACTATGGAAGCTTATGAAATACTATTACAGAAATGTTAAATTGGTGTGACGGTATTTTGACGTCAAAATGTGTATTAACAAAGTTGCATTTCTTTTATTCTGGACTTTATTTCTCTGTGTCTCATCGGAACACATAAAAGGCCAGTTTTCTACACAAGAATTTTTCAAGTTCCTAGTGAAATTTGGATTTCAGAAGACAGATATACATTTCCAGAAGGAAACATATGGATATATTTTTGGAAACGTTACCTCCGATCAACATTTTAAGTATCCTATCACGTTTGCAGTATTAGATAGACGACACTTTATTCATTATTATAAGAATCGTGACATCACTGACAAGGAAACAGCTTGCCAGGTTATGTTTCAAAATTTAAACTCATCTGCTTATCATCCAAAATGTAATACATGCGGCCAGGATTTATTTCGTCGCATTCCTTGTCCTGAAGGTAAATTGTGTATTGATGAAGATACACCTTGGAATGTTGTCAAAAACAACCAATTCACATATGTGATACAAAACACAGGACAGCCTAGGTAATTATTATTTTTGTGTGTATTTAATACTAATAAAATCAATCAGAAGCCATAATATTTTGTGCATATATACAATCAATTTGTCTTTTACTACTGAAACATATTTTACACAAACAATATTGTAGTAGTATGTCAGATTTTTCATTATTAATTAAAGAGAAAGTATTTCTGTAAGTTTGTTCTAGATCTGTAATTGAACATGATAATAAGAAGTCTGATATCATTAGGTTGTTATGAAATAGTTTGTTTTGTTGTCATCTCTAATCAGTGTGTTAGTATAGATTGCTTATCTGAACATCACAATGCTTTTGTTTTAATGTATTTGTATCATTTTATTATCAGTTATTGATCAATCACAAGACATAATGAAATCTTTAAAAAAATGTCTGCTAAGCTAACTTACACAATGTGCTTTGTATGTCATATGTAATTTAGGGCATCTAAACAGCTGGTTTTCTATACATAACTTGTACATATACTGTAGTATTCTAATCTGCCAAGCGATGGAACATTAAGGGATTTCCCCAGTCGACTGTCATGAAGTGCTTTAAATAAATAAATAAAACATCTTTATTGTTGTCATAAAAAAAATAGAATACAGTTTCTTATGCACTAATGTTTACATCAATTGACAACAATGGGCTGCTGCTCAGCGTGACCCGCATGGTCTAAGTCATGCGGAGCTAGTTAATGTGAAGCACTACAAGACAACTTGTAAATCTGAGAACTTGAATATCTCAATATGTTTTCAGGTTCTGGTATATATCAATGGTGTCATGTTACTTAGATGAGGTGACATGCTTATGGCACCATTACACAGGAGCACCATCTGCTGACAATAAAACGTTAACACATGTGCCACAGAATATACAGTATGATTTCTGGCTTGTTAACGGAAGTCCCAACATTTCGTTGTACAATACATTGGTTTATCAGTTTTCATTTGATAGACAAAACACCCTGGAATTGTATCTGTTATTCTGGCTATGCTATATTATACTGCTGCCTGTCCAGATTTATGCTGTCAGGTACATACACTTTTTTTATGTAGATGTAATTTGGAAAAAAGCATACACATTTGAATATTTCTCTCTTGTTGCAAACAAAGTAATAAAAAAATTGGAACTTTTAAGTATGTAACCATACTGTTTCTTTTCCCAGATTTTTTTTTGGTAGATGTTATTTTTCTGGTAATAAATATAACCTATATTACTCAGTGATACGGTAGCTTTCAAATTAATTTTTTTTAAATCAATCAGTAGTTTTTGAGTTTATTTGTTACATACAAAGATATAAATGTTTCTTTATAGTATGTTAATATATTTATAACT